TACGTCATACTAGCCACTTTAGCCACGCTTCTCGCCAGTACCAACGCCAAGTTAACATCGACAGATTCTGTTTTCAACAAAAAGTTCACGATCACGAACCCGGACTCCAGCGAAGCAATTGACGGAGTATATCTCCGACAAGGGAATGACAAGTACGTGATTTTCCGTCTAAGTGGTGATGAAGACGCACCCATGGAGGATCCCGCCGAAGACGATTCAGCATCGGGCGGAAAGGAAGAGGGAGCTGGTGGTGTGAGCGCTGGCACGGCGGAAAAGGTCAAGAAGCAGTTTTCGGGGGAGTATAACACGTTCTGGAACAAGTTTCTGTGGCATCTTTTCCGCAAGCTGACCCCAAAAGATCGCCGTATTGGTTAAATCATAAAAGGTAGCTCCTTGCTTGCTGTCGGGGGTATGCGGTCCTTGAAAGATGCTTAACAACCAAATCGAGTAAGCCGAACTCAACAACAACGAGAATGCCGTTCTTCCCAGCAACTTGACATGATGAAAAATATACCAACTTTATTCATTCCAACATTACGCCTTCATTAAATCCTGGTCCGCCACGACAACGACTTGATGCGCGTTAGCCGAGATATCTCGGTATTTGGAGACGCTCACAGGCAGCACATGGCCTTAGCAGTGATGGCGTTGTTGGCACGTGGAGCTTCCAGTCGCATGGCACGTGTTGCGACAACGACTGCCATGATGACAACAGCGACAAAAGCAAGCTTGTTCATGGTAGAGGGAGTTGGGAAAGCTGTAACGAATTTTGTCGAACACAGAGCAAATTGCCAAGTGAGCGCTCAGTATGAGAGCTTCCTTGGGCTCAGTCATCGACCGAAACTTTAGAGGCACTGGCAGCGCACAGGCTCTGGTGGCGTGCGGCATTCGAAGACTGGCGTTACGGAACCTGCTCCCCATGTTCGAAGCACCTAGCGTCAGCATTTCGCTCGCGCATCGTTGCAGTAGTCTTGGACAGTTTGGGTGGACCACAAATGTCCACATTGTGTGTCTTCTTGGAGTCCTCTTGTCCTCTTGGAGCTGATGATGGTATGGACCGTACGTCACTGTACTACGGCGATCAAACTTCAACTTGGTGGTCGCTGGCCTCGCGGTCTCATTCACGAAGATACCAACTTAACTGGATGAAGACTTCGCGTGACGCTCGTTTCTCGTTGTAGGTGGCGGCGTGATCGGTCTCACTACGGCCTTAGCGTTGCTGCAGAGCGGCTTCAAGCACGTCCAGGTCGTCGCGAAGAAGTTTGAGGCCACCACGTCCCACGTAGCCGGGGGGCTCTGGATGCCGTTCGCTCTGCCCGATGGAGTCGACACCGTAAGACCTCGCAAATGGTGCGAAGTGACATACGCGTGGTTGGAGACGCTCCACAAGGAGAAGGGAGAGTCGTTGGACATTCATATTGTCCCGGGCGTCGACGTTTCTGCTGTCGGAGCTCCTCAAGTGGTAAGAACCGTGGATTGCTGGCTGGATGCACCAACTGACTGGGTAGATCCATCCGTATTGGGCGCATTGTGTCGAGAACTTCCGTCTGCTCAGCCAGGAAGAAGCTGCCGAGGTGTCACCTGGAGCAACGCACGGCTTCGCGCTCGATACGATCATTTACAACCCCAAGTACGTCTACTGTTTAATACTATTGTGCTGATAGTTAAACTTGACGCTCTTGTAGACCTTTCATGCTGTGGCTTCACGAGGAGATACAGAAGCTGGGTGGCACTTTGAAGCAGCGTCGTGTCAATGCTCTAGACGAGGAAGAATGTGACCTTTTAGTGAATTGTTCTGGTCTGGCGGCGAAGGAACTGGCTGGAGATGGCACGATGTTTCCGATCCGTGGCCAGATCATTAACGTGTACAACCCAAAGCTGAAGGAGCTCAAGATGTCGGTCGACAAAGACGGAGAGTACGCGTACGTCATCCCTCGTCCAAACGGCGACGTTGTGCTTGGTGGGACTGTGCAGAAGCACAACTGGACTGCAGAGAACAATGACAGTGATGTCGACGGTGTCTGGGAGCGCTGCTGTCGTCTATGGCCTGAGGTGCGCAACAGCAAAGTGATTGCCAAGATGGCGGGGCTTCGACCGGGGCGCACTGGAGGTGTGCGTCTTGAGGTGCAGGCTGCTCCAACCAAGCGTGGTGCAGTGCTGATCCACAATTATGGACACGGCGGATCAGGTCATACGCTACACTGGGGCTGTGCGCAAGAAGTGGTTGAGCTGGCCAAGCAGCGCTTTCCTGTTGGATTAACTAGTAAGTTGTAAGCGGACGATGTATGAAGCCAATTGAGGAGATTCCAAGGCTAAATTTCATAAATGGAGCAAACTGCTACGTTCACTCGAACTTCTTCAAGTCGGCGTGGCTCCATTCCTTGAGACCTTCAGCGCCGCTCTCATAGTCCGACACCATTCCCTTGGCCACAGCCTTCACCGAGATCTGGTAAGCCTGTATCAATAGACCACGTCAGTTCTAGGGTCCTGAGTGTTACAAAGTTAATACCGACGTACCCCTGGGATCATCCAGCCGAACATTTTCTCTGTGCCACGTAGCAGTTCTCCACGCTGTAGCATGCCAGGGCGGAAGATGGATGTTCGCTGGAACTTCATTTGCTGCACCTTGTCCTCCACTTCTCCCTTGGTCTGCGGGTACAGGAACCAGCTGTCCTTATTGGCGCCCTGGGACGTTAAAAGCCCCATGTACGGGACGCCTGCAGCCTTGGACAGTTCGGCGAAGTTGGTCACATACTCCAGATCCACTGCATCAACAACAGTTTCTATCGTTAGCGCAACATAATCCACATCGCGGTCTGTAGACCTGCTCTACCTTTGCGGAAGGCCTCGGCAGAGCCGGCATCTTTGCGGGTCGTGCCGAGACACGAGAAGGCGGCGTCCACCTTGTCTGAAGGCTTAATATCAGCTTCCGAGAGACTGTTGAAGTCCACTTGGCGCACTTCCAGCTTGCTTTTGGCCGCCTCACCGTCCAGCGACGGGAATGTCGATTTCCAGGCTGACTCAGGCACGTCGCGACGCGCCAGAGCGATGACCTTCGAGCACTTGGCGGAGGCTACGAGCTCTGCAACAAGGTCGCGGCCTACGGCACCGGTTGAACCGATCACGAGCGCCACGTACGAGGACATCAATAAACTTCGGAGGATTGGCAAATGAGCTCTCCAGCGTTTTAAAAAGGTGTCTGCGACATGTGACAATGGGCTCACAATCATTCGGTAGTGCTACAGTATTTGCCGTAAGTGTTGAATAATTATAACAAATTATATGATCGGTGAATAGTTTTGATGTTGATTATGCAGCGTGATGACTTAACCAAAATAGTTTCAAAATCAACAGCCAAACTAGCAATTCGCGTTTCATTTCCAGAAAACCTACCAACCCATGGAATACGTTGCTTTGGTCCAGGGCGCTACAGGCGCTGTCGGCCGCGCTTTAGTGGCCGAGTTGGTGCAAAGCCCATCTTGCACCAAAGTGATTGCTCTCACGCGCCGGGAAATCCCCGACACTCAATGGGGGGATGCATTCCCTTCGATGGATGTGGCTGCGGCTCAGAACAAACTGGAAATTATCCCAGTGGACTTTGAGGAGATGAATCGCGACTGGAAGAAGGTTCCTGTAAGCGTTGACGCTGCATTCTCGTGTCTGGGAACGACCCGCAAAGATGCGGGTTCAGCTGAAGCTTTTCGCAAAGGTAGTCGACATTGTTGGAATGGTGGGATGAAGTTCGGGATTTAATTTCTTCTTTCGGGGATATTTTAAAAGTGGATTTGGAGTATGTGACCAAGTTTGCCGAGTTGGCCAAAGATGCGGGAATACCGTACTTTGGTCTGCTGACAGCCAGTGTACGAGATCATTTCTAGTGTAACATCGAACAATTCTTTTTGGCTTAGATCTGACTATTGAGTATTTGTCGTAGAATGCAAACAAGGACAGTTGGTTCTTGTATCCGCAAACAAAGGGCGAAGTGGAGGAAAACGTCAAGGAGCTGCAGTTCGAGCGAACGTCGATCTTTCGACCGGGGCTTATTAATCGTGGCAAGCTTGCACGTACGGTTGAGTCGATTGCTGGATATCTTTTACCAAGCGTACGTTGGCAAAAGCTTTTACCCCCTATATTTTTGAGTAACTTAATAATGTTGTGTTTCTGTCAGATTACGACCCGTGCCATCGCGAAGGGAATACGAAAGTGGAGACAAGGGACTGAGAGAGTGGAGCAACGCGGATCTGAAGAAACATGAGGTTGCAACTGCGGTAACTGAGAAGCAGTCTGAGTTATAGGCGACAGTGCCAAGATCAGCAAAACGTTCTTTAATTTGATGTGATTTCAATACATATTGGATACGTATGCATACACGATCGGATATCAATTATCAAGCACAGAATACGACTGCGCGTATGGTTACAACAATGATATTCTCGCGTCATCACGACTACTTCTTGTTTTTGGATAGCACATGCTATTCGAAGAGAATATGATCACTATATTTTTTCCTTCGTGTCTAATGACGTGTTTAAAAAGCAAGCTGATGCACGAGATATTATTTTCTCCAGTTTTACACTTCGACTTGTGCGCTTTCTTCCTGCATCTCCTGACACAAAATTTTTATTTTACCAGTAACAATATCCATTCGTCTACTGATCATAACCCCACATAACTCGGGTCATTTACTCTGGGTTGCAAATGACGAACACATCGTAGCTGGCCTGTATTTATGTATTGCGATCACTTCACGTTTTCATGAGCATGAGGTTATTGCGATAGACTTCGCAATCGAGATCTTTTCAGAACCGACGTTGGTGCGTTTTCGATGCTCAATTCCATACTCAAGTAGTTTTTTTTCTTCTCACATACGTGTAATCGAACATTTAGCAATCTAGTCTTTGTAAAGAGTAACTCCGCTCTCCCTTCTCTACTAAATCGCCACAACTCAAACGTCTTCACTCACGGCGTCTACAACGCTAACTCGGTACGATCTTGACTTACACGCAGCTGCTGCTATCGGCCACGAACGTGCCGTCAGAGTTCTCGCAGCCGCAGTCACCCGTGGTGGGGTCCTTGATGCAACCAGTTCCAACACCGCTGTCTGTACCGTTGCCACTATTTAAGCACGAAGTTAGTGTCACACTATCACCAGAGAAGTCATAGTTGTTACCTCCAGAAGAACGTCCAGCAGTCGTCGTTGTCCTCCATCTCGTCCGACGTCGGCGGATCACACGTGTACGCAGAGCAGGTGCCGTACGGGTAGCCGTTATTGCCGTCGTACTGGTGGTCCGTCACGAAGACGGCAAAGGTTTGAGTCGTCGAGGTGCGAGTGTTGTGCGAGCATTCAGCCGCTTGGATGGCCTTTGAAACCTTGGTCACACTGCAGTTGTAGGTGCTGGGGCACTTGCCCTTGGAGTTGGAGCTGCACGGATCCAAAGTCGCAGACACGAGTGCGGGGACAGCGAGAAGAGCGAAAGCGAGGGTGAAGCGCATATCGGTTGATTTTACTAGTGCAGTAGATTGCGAATTGTAAACTGAGTTCATGCTCCATGCCTTGGAAGATCAACCAACTTCTACTGCACGACCTTCTGGAATCCTCGCTCAACCGATGTTGCTAGTCGTATACATTATTTCCAAAACTATCATAACTTCTATGGCTCTGGACTTGTCAAGTGAGGCACGTATTGTGCCCACTTTACAGATGGATACTCGTGCTCACAGCATCCCACCCGTTTTTCGTGCTTTCGCCAAAACAAAAGTCTTTTGGTTAGCTGCACGATGCAGCAACGGATCAACACCTGCCATGTATCTCATTAGTGCATGGAGGCCCCGCCTCAACACCTGGCCAGTACGTGCTGCACGTACATGAGCTCCACATGGATCGTTGTTGTCTTGGCAACGAATGCAGAATGTACTCACAATTTATCGTATCAAACCAACGATTTTGTGTGGTGTCGCCTTCATAACGATGACTTAGCACAAACCCTCTTCCACGCTAAATGGAATCGAGATAAGCCGACCGACTCACAGCGTTGGCATTGCTGCTATTCGACAAGTGCTAAACGATTCATCATTTGGGCGGAGTGTTCCCACATTGGTCCCTTTTCTATTTGACCTCTCGTTTCCACGAGCTGACCACCTCGTTGCTGATGTATTAGCCATGACCGAATCAAACTCTCAATGGCTGTTTCTAGACGAGATTAAACGACATAGACTGCTGTTGAATAAACATGTAGCTAAGCTTTGGATCAGTGTTGCCACGTCAAAGGTTGTGCTGAATGCAAGGAAGCAATAACGACACAGAGGACACGTCTAAGACCTTCCACCGAATATCATACGCGTTTGTACTGATTGGGCATGCATACAATTGCGCCAGCCGACCGAGACATCCTGACAAGTACCCGGCAAAATAGAGAATATCTGAATAACGGTACATGTATCAGTTCGCAAAACAACTGTAGTAAAAAACTAGAAATAAAACACGTTAAAACGAATAAAACTTTTATCAGATCTGATTCCACCAAAAGTCCGTGGCTCACAGTTCACCTACCATGGCCCCAATGGCGCGTGTGTACGCCGCGCTGGGCACGAATCTAGGTGTGTTTGCTCTCCTTGAGTTTATTTTACTCTACCCTTATACCAACCACTCTACTTTTCTTCAATCCGCAGGTGACAAAGTGGCGAATCTAGAGAATGCGTTGGCCATGTTGACACAAACCGTAGGGCCAGTAGAAGCGACCTCCCGCCTCTACACTACAGCACCGCAATACGTGGAAGATCAGCCAGCCTTCCTCAACATCGTGGCCAGACTGCGGACGGAGCTCAAGCCGAAAGAACTGCTTGGAGCCTTCAAGACCATCGAACGGGAGATCGGACGCACGCCATCTCTTAGGTGCGGACATAATCGAATGGTGACGATTTCGAAGAAGTTTGACGGTGATAATTTCTATGCGGATTTAACAGATGGGGACCCAGACTCATTGACGTCGACATCTTGCTCTACGACGACCTGGACCTGAAGACGGACACGGAAGAAGGACCTTTGATTGTCCCCCACGAGCGCATCGCTGAAAGAGATTTTGTACTCGCTCCACTATGTGATTTGGCTCCAGGTAAAATACTTCCAGTTTTTTTTTTTTTGTATTTTTATAGAGCCTTTTGCTTATTTTCCTTTATTTATTTATTTGCAGATTTGGTGCATCCAGTGTTGAAGCAGTCTATGCAGAAACTGTATGACACGTTGCAGACTGGTGAACAGCGTTATGTGCCTCCGGTTCCAATGCTACCTGTTGATAAAAGTGCGCCGTGGTCTTTGGGTAGCAAGACGTTCGTCATGGGGATCGTGAATGTCACTCCGGACAGTTTTAGTGACGGAGCGGAGCTGGCAACAGTGGCTGCTGCAGTGCAAAAGGCGTTGGAGATGGAACGCGCTGGTGTGGATATTGTCGACATTGGTGGGGAATCTAGTCGTCCTGGAGCGGAATCTGTGACTGAAGAGGAGGAATTAAAGCGCGTATTGCCGGTAATTCGTGGCCTTCGCGAGAAAAGCAAGATTGCTATCTCCATCGACACCACCAAGGCGGAAGTTGCACGCCAAGCGATTGACGCAGGGGCGAATATTGTCAACGACATTTCTGCGGGGCTGAAAGACCCGGATATGCTCGCTACGGTCGCTAAACTACGGGTACCGGTCAGTATTATGGCTTACTTGGTCGATTCATCAAGCTTGAAGTGAGCTAACTCTTGTACGCTATGCTTTAGATTGTGCTGATGCACATGCGAGGCACGCCGAAGACTATGACCGGACTCAAGGTTCGTCCTCAACAGCAAAGTTTGTGATGATACCTCTAACGCTGCGTATGTGACTTAGGAGTACGAAGATGTAGTAACCGAAGTCAGCGAAGTTCTTAACGAACGTGTGGAGGCTGCAGAGGCTGCTGGGATCTACCGCTGGAACATCATCCTAGACCCAGGAATCGGATTTGCGAAAGCTCGCGTTCTCAACCTGAAGCTGCTTCGGAAGCTCTCAACCGTGAAAGAGACCTGCCACGGATTACCCCTACTGGTACGTTTTAATCTCCGTAGTTGCAAAATCTGCACACTAATGTGAATGATGTTATAAATTCAGGTGGGGTCGTCCCGCAAGGGATTTATCGGCGAGATCTGCACTCGCCCTGACCCGAAAGACCGTGCTTGGGGTACCGCTGCCACTTGCTGCGCTGCTATCCAACAAAGAGCTGACATTTTACGCGTTCACGACGCAGCTGAGATGGTGGACGTTGCGAAAATGTCGGATGCTATTTGGCGAGAAGGGTAGAAATATTTACGCCGCCTATAGACTCACGAACTGGTGCCGTATTTCCAGCAATAAAGAGCATGATGAAGTGCTAAGCTTACCCCACTTTTTATAGGTGTCTCGACTATTTTTGCTGTAAAGATCATGCTCCTATCAGTCCTCAAAACACTTCCACCTCACCACGAACCAGTGATAAACCGAAGTTCCAGTGAAGATGGCAGACGATCAAAACAACATCCGGACTGGTGAGCTCGAGAATGAAAGCGAGACCCCTCACTTCGACGCGCTGTTTGCTCAATACTCCACCAGTGACGGGTACGTCGATTATACTTTGTAAAGACTACAACTCGGATAATAACTTTTATTTTGTAAGAACATTTGGCACGGAGCACCTAGGCAGCTTGCTCGTTGATATGGGATTCAATGCTTCTCCGAAGGTTATAGATCGCGCACTTGACGATATGGACCCGAATGCTACAGGAGAGATTGCCAAGCTGACATTCCTCGAGTGGTTCGAAGAGAATGCAGACGACATTGACGACGCCCCTGCAGCCCCAACTCAGTCATCTCTCCTAGCTTCTCGTACTCATCAGCAAGAGGAAGCTTACTCTGAGCTGCAAAGTGCGATGCTAGATGCTAAGAAACAGCGCCAACAAGCAGAAAATGACGCTCAACTACTCGCCAACCGCCTCACTCATCTTCGAGCGGAAGACGCGCGTGCACAGAAGCGGATCGAAGAGGCCAAGCGACGTGCTCGTGAGATTGAAGCAATCAAGAAGCGCAATGAGGATAAACAACGCGTCAAACAAGAGGCTTTGGAACAGATGCAGCGAGACATTAAGGCTCAGCGCGAGTACAACAACGCAGTGCAGTCGTTGTCGCGGGAACGTCGCAACCAAGTTATAGCAGAGTACACCTCACATCGTGCTCAGATCGTACAGGATGCACGTGCTGAGAGGAAAACTAACCTGAATCAGATTAAACAGCAAAGGGAGAGAGATCGATCGTGGCTGGCGGAGCGTTCGCAGGAGATTCGAGACAAGGAAAGACGCGCTATACGTCAGCGGCAGGCTGCGCAAAAGAGCTACGAGAAGGAGTTGCTCAAAAAAGCACGTGACAAATTGGCTCAGGAGCACGAGAAGCGATTGCTGTCCGAGAAGAAGATCTACAGCATGGAGGCGGAGGAGGCAGAGCTGATTGCGAAGCTGAGAGTGACGCAGGAGCTACAGCGCGCAGCTTACGAAGAGCTTGAATTTGTCATGCAGGATGATGGGAGGTCGTTATGAGCGATTTCTCCATAAAGTCGGCATGCTCATTAGTTACATACAGAGTACCAATACTTGCTTTTCCGTGTTCTTCTGTTGCCGTCGAAAAACAACTATGGCTTGTGGTTGTTCTCAGTGTTACAATACTGACCTAGACAACACTGGTTATTCGGTTATTTTCAAGCAAAGGTACTGCAAATTAGAGGCACTCGTCCAACGACACTTTTTAGAGAAAGTATTCTGCTATACGCCACCTCATCTTATATAAAACTTACAACAAGTATTGCAGAGTATTAACAAGCCCGTTGCCAGGATGACGACGGCCAAGGTTGAATGTCAAGTTGTCATGCAGGACTTGAGACTGAGCTTTCTATTTCAAACCTTTCGCAGGTTGAACAATTATATCTTAACTATCAGTATATTTCATTCCTTCTTTTGCCAAGAAAGGCTAAGGTCCTCTGCAAGCCACGACCAAAGCT